ACTTGTGTCCATTACAGATGAATGGATAAAGGAGATTATGTGTGTGTGTGTCTCAAAAATGAATAAACATTAAAAAAATTAAGAAAAAAAAAAGCCAAGGGGCCAGATTACTTAGGACCTTACAAGAGGGGAAGAACTTCAACTTTCACTTGGAGATGAGGAGCCATTGAAGTGTTTGAGATAAGAAATGTCATGATCTGGCTGAGTTTTAAGGGATCTTTTGAGCTCATAAATTAGGGGAGAGTGCTTTAAAAAAAAAAAAAGCCATGTAACAATCAGGGCAACAAGAAAGAGGGGGAGATGAAACAAAGAGGGCAGATTTGCTTACATTCTCCCATCAGATACTTAGTGAGTACACTCCTAGGTGCTGGTTAGGATGAAAAAATTAGTTAGTCATGGGTTCTGTCCTCAAAAGAAATTTACAGAAGACAAAACATGAGCCAAAATAAGCATAATGCACAGTAGAAAACAAAGGGAGGAGGATAATTTTCTATGATGGTTGACAAAGAGGGAGAATTAGAGAAGTCTTCTTGAAGCAGGTGGCATTTTAGCTGTCCACAAAAACAAAAGCTCCTCAATCGCATGGGTTCTGCTTTTTCTAGACTGCTCAATTACCAGCACCTGAACAGCATTCAGTACAGTCAGTGATCAATAGTTTTTGTTACATAATGTGTGAGTGAAGGTGCCTGTCCAGATATGCAGGAAGGAGGGCATTCCAGCTGAGGGTACAGTATTAGTGAAATCACAAAAATGAAAAGCTAAGGTTTAATTTGGTGGAAGGAAATGAGAATAGAAGGAGATGAAATTAAACCTTGGAATAGGGTTACATCACAGAGGACTTTGCTGGTCTGGTGGAGGTACCATAGTTTTCTCCGAGCAGCGATAGGAAGGGAACTTTGCGCTGGAAAGATGACTGTCATAATACTGATAAATGCTTGAAGTAAACAACCAATTGGCAGATGGAAACGAGGCACCAGTTCCCATGATATTGTAAAACAAAAACAAAAACAAAAACAAAAACAAAAACAAAAAAAACCAGGCAAAAGGTGATGAGGTCCCTTCATCATTAGTACTTCCACTGCGCTCAGTAAATATTTCTAAGCCGTACTGAGGACAGGCATGTATTTATATGTACTGTAATTTTTTAACTTGTTTATTTCCTTTTCTTCACTAGAAATATAGCATATTTACCACTGGTGGTGTACACTTTTGTTTTTTTTAGTTTATTTATTTTGAGAGAGAGACAGACAGAGGGCGCGAGTGGGGGATGGGCAGAGAGGGAGAAAATCCCAAGAAAGCTACCAGCACAGAGCCTGAGGCAGGCCTCGAACCCACGAACCATGAGATCATCATCTGAGCCGAGATCAAGAGTCAGAAGCTTAACTGAGTTAAGGCGGTGGACACTTCTAATCACCACGTACACGGCCATTATCCATTTTCCCTTTATTACAGTAATAAAATGCCTCAAGTTGCAGCTGGACTAGAGCTACCAGTCAGAGACTACATTCCCCAGCCTCTCTTGCAACTGGATGTGGTTTTGGCAACGGATTGGAGAAGTGACAAGTGTAACTTCTGGGACACGCATTTCTGATGAAGCTGCTTGCTCTCCATTTCCTCCTGCCTCTTCTTATAGATGCTCCTCACCCAATTTTCTCTGTCTATGCCTGAGGCAGGTGTTGGAGATTATGTCCTTTTGTAAATATATAACTTTCTTACCCCTTTTCCTGATGGGATGAGTGGGGGGCTGGGAGTTGCTTCAAGGGTCCATTTTTCATAGGTTTTTGTAAAAAGGGAAAATATAGGCCTATGACCAAATTCTGGCCAGTGGGATGTGAATGAATGTGGGGTGTGGTGCCTAGGTCAGCCCTCTAAAAGGAGGATTGCTGCTACTTCTTTCTTTCTTTTTGAGGGTAGGGATTTGACTCTGGTGGTGGTGATCCCACCTTGGCCCTGGACATAGTCTTACAGGATACAAAGCAATATACAAGCGGCGCCCAACAAACTTAGACTTTTATATGTAACAGAAACAACTTCCATCTTAGTTAAACTATTGTTATTTGGTCTCTGTTAAAGCAGCCAAATCAATATCTTAATATATAACGTATAAATATTGACCATTACCACTATGTGTTGAATGAATATATGATAGATAAGTATAAAAGTCTCTATGTAAGTAAAGTAATATTAAAGAATTATTTCCCCCATTCCCCTAAGCTTTGAACATAAAACATATGTCCACTGAAAAGGAAAGCTACAGTATAAAGCTTAAGTTGAAGTCAACTTCTGTATCATCATAACCTTGGGCGCATATCCTAACTTGCTTTATGATAAAGTGGTATTAGCACGGAAAGCATCTACTGTCATTTGAGATTAAACCAATACAACACTGAGTTACTGGTTTCTCATTGTAGGTTCTAACATTCCATGAAACAAGGCTTTTACGGGGAAACTGGACCATGAAATCTTGAAATTCTGTATCTCCTACCACTGTTTTTAGGCACACATAACAAGATGAATTTGAATATTAGTCTCTGACTTCAGGAATTTTGTCATTGCTTGTTTTCACACAGAATGCAACAATAATTTCAGGGAAGTGAAGGAAGGAACTTACTTGACATTGGGACTTAAAAACTAGCCGTTTATGTTTATTATTACTTTATAATTTTTTTATTAATATATATAGACTATGACAGTTTAAATAGGGATTTCTGTTTCCACAGCCCATCTGATCAAATCAGTTTATGATCAAGTATATATATTTATGTTACTAATGCATTCTCAAAGAAACACGGGGAATCTCCATAGACCTCTTTGCGGGTACAGTTGCTTATGTCTTTTGTGGAAGAGCACTGGAATGGTGACTCATTTATTTAGGAAGTTTCTGAAAGAGGTAATTGAAGGTGATCCCCAAAGCTGGAAAAATGATATGGGTGTCCGCATTTGGACAGCAGGTATAGTCAAGAAAAGCTGGAGACTGACATATTATTTTCTGAATAGAAATAAAACTTAAGAAAGAGAAAGGGGTGTTCTGAGTTTTTAATGATAAAAGGTTCACACTGCTGAAGACAGCAATGGTGAAATGTAAACACTGGCGATGAAGAGGAAACGTTTTACTTCCTACACCCCTGAAGTTATTTGTACAAAAGGCATCTTTCTTTGATCAAGCCTTTATTATTGGTTTTCCTTGGAGTACGAACGACAGGGACTTTGTTTTGCTGATCCCAAATGTTCTTACCTTAGCTAACAACACGACAAAAAATAGTAAGAGAGATGGAGTTTTTGGTTGAATGAATGAGTGAATGTGTGGATAATGTCTGCATTTGTGAATTGTAATTTCCCACTAAATAAAGTGAAAGAATGACCCATCCTGTTCTGAAGCTCTTAATGGAAATATAGATATAACATTAAGAGATTTTCTCTAAAAATACAAAAATCGGAAGATATTTAGCTCATATAGGTGGTTTACAAAGGCTTCTTAGTAATCAATTTTTCTTTTGCTATTTTAGTTTTGTAAACATATTTACTACATTTGGCAACACTGAAATACTTAATTTTCCAGGAACTATGACTTTAGGTATAAGACTATGTTAAAAAATAAATATGATTATAAATATAAATTTAGAAAAAATAGAGAATATGACCAATTTTTTACACATCTGTGAAAAAATATAACATTGAAAAAATGACGAAGATTATAATTGCAAATACTGTGTAGAAGAAAAAACAAATAATTAGCTTGAATGGTGATGGTATTTTATATTGCTGATAAATGAATCCTCTGGACTCCCATGACCACCTATAGTCATGGGGAAAAACATGCAAAAAAGATTGCAGGTTACAACAAGCAGGGAGTTAGTCTATTTTCACGAATTTTAACTGTTGTAAATCAAGTGACACACATTACAATAATCTAAATATCATTTTGTGTACTAATATGGCAATCTGACCCAGGGATCTAGAGGTAATCTGTTTCATTCCTGTATTTTAAGGATGCAGGTTAGGAATAAGGTATTAGGTTTACAACATTTATATAAAAGAAATAATGTGATACTGGAAAACAACACTATTCATTTAACATAATCAGCTGCTATATAATAAGTCAGATGCTCCCTGAGTGTAAATTACACAAATTTGAAAGCTGCATTTATTATTAATACCTCATTCCCAGACAGGGGCTTGCTTAGTCTGTCAGTAGTAAAACCTGGTTTAGCATACCAAATTTAAAGCTGGTTAACAAATATGAAACTTTTTTTTAAAAACCTATCATGCATGTAGCTAATTCACTTGTGTGAATTTTAAACCTTTTCTTCTCCCCTAATACTATTGAGAATATTTTTACTATCACAAATTATAGAAATTAAATATGAATTGTAGTAATACAAATACTTGAACTGAAGCTTGGATTGTTTAAAATTTATCACTTATAAGGTCTATATGGAAACAGACTCATATTGCCTATCAGGACTCTTTCAGGCTGAAATTATTTTGTAAGAGGGTTGTTTGAGTAAATGTAGGGGTACTCTAAAATTTCTTAGGTTGAACTGATGAGATTTCTTACTGTAGATGATTTAATGAGCTTACGTTGCTGGGTGTACATCAGCACATGTCAAATTCTGCAAGAGTTTACGGTTTCTAAGAACTCGCTTTCTAGAAGGTCCTTGGCTGAGGAGTGGGGCCAGATTCGGAATCAAATAGGTAAAGAGGGTCTTTTTTTTTTTTTTTTTCGTGTAAATAGTTTAAGAGTAATTTCGGGTGGTCTAGAAACCGTTAGTTATTAGGAAGGTGCGTATCAATGAGTCTAGTACCTCACTTGCCCGAGACCCTTCTACCGGCCTGGCCTGGGCCTCCGCACTCCGGCGGGCACCATCTGCACACAAATTGCCATTTTTGCCAGACCGCCCAGGACAGAGCTTCGGAATCCATCACGGGGACGGCCGGCATCTACACTCTGGTGTCCCCTGATTCGGAGCGAGTGCATTCAACGCAGGAAGATCACTTACGACTGAGTTTTTCATCATGGCTTTGACTGTGAAGCCCTCAGAAACCAGGGGGTGAGGCTGGTGCGCCGGGAGCGGCTGCTGTGCCAGCAGCTTGGTCCTCTTCGGCATCTTGTCTGGGCATTTGGTTAAGCCCAGGGTCTCTTTCTCTGCCACCATCTTCCTAGAAAATGCCCTGTTCTCATACAACGTGTAGTAAAAGCAGCAGTGGGTTTCACGGATGGGAGGAGCTCGGGAAAGGCTGTAACAGGGCGCGACCCTGGCAGAACTTCAACCCCTCGCAGTGCCCAGGGTGATCCAGATGTTTGGCAGCGCCCAGGTGAAGGGAATTGAGGGGAGGGGAGGGGAGAGCGAAGGACCGCTGCGAGAGCTGCAACAAGCTTCCAAAGGGAAGCCTCCCGGTTGCTAAGCGACGCGTCAACACTGCGGCCGAAGGGCCCGGTTCCCGCGTGACGTACGTTTCCTGGGCCTGAATCCCGACTGGCGGCGGAAGGCCGGAGGGAGGGGTGCGCGGTGAGGAGAAACTACGAGGTAAAACTACGACTCCCAGAAGGCCCCTGGCTGCGTGCCGCCGGCGCGTGCGCACTCCGAAGGCCGGGCACAGGGGAGGCGAGCGCCGGAAGACTTAGCCCTGGAGCCGCACTGGGGGGACGCCCAGGCGGGTGCCAGTGTGCCTAGCAGTCTCCACCTGCCCAGTGACCATGATAGGTACGTGGGTGCCTGCCAGGTACAGCGTCTCTGCGCCGCCCCGCCGGGCCTCGGCGGACGGGGACCCCCCCAGGGTGTCCGCCGGTGTCAACTGTCAGCGGCGGGGCGGCCGTGTGCGCCCGTGCGCTGCCCGCGCGGCGGGCTCCCCAGTGCCCGCCTGGGCTCCCCAGTGCCCGCCGTGGGCCAGGAGAAACAGTGTGTGTGTTCTAAGCCCCCACCCCGCCCGAGGTTTGACAGGCTTCCCGCCGGAGACAACTTCTCCGGGGACCCCGGGGTGCGCTCTGCGCCTCCCCAGGTGAAGGCGGGGTCGCGCGCTCCCACAGCGAGCGCACTGCCCAGCCAGGCCTGTAGGGGGCGCCGTGCAGGCCCGTCACGTGCGCCCGCTGTGTGCGTCCGTCCGGGCGCCTCGGTCGCTGCCCTCCAGTTAGGGTCCCATTGGGACCCACCGGCTGTAGGACCCAACGGGGAAGCCTAGCCTTAAGCTCGAGGCTCAAAAGAAATCCCTGCGGATGGAGTTAAACGTCTTGCTCCCTCCGAGTTTTCCTTTTAAATCTCTCATTGTCGGTCTGAGATGAAAGAATTAAGACGAAACAACAACAAGGATTAATTCTTTGCAGAATGGATTGTTCTTCTTATTTAACACAAAATGACCTAGGTGCATTTTGGTGATGAAAGCTTTGGAAATGGTTCTTCTGTTTATAAACACTGTGATGTATGAGATTAGCAAAGTTTCTCCCTTCCAGGGTTGTGAAGCCAAAAGTTGTGGGTTTGGGTTTTGTTTGTTTGTTTTGGTTTTCAGTGGTAGTCTCTGAAATTAGTGTTAATGCACAGTATGATTAGATACCGTTGCTATTTGGGGCTTTATTATGACAGAGGCTTGCTCTGGGTTGTGTTATTTGGTGAGCTTCTTTGGGGATTATTTCTGATGAGCGCCACTTACAAAATACTTTTGATCATAACGAGTACATCTGAAGTCAAAAGTGGTCTGTCCAGAAAGACGAGAAGTGGATTTTTAAAATACGTAAGTTTGTATGCACTGATAAGCTCTTCTTAAGTCTTTTATTTAGGAAACTGTTAAAATGTAAAACATTCTGCTTGCTGGGAGAACCATGCCAGTTAACCGACGTTGTCTTTGCTGCAATGATAAAACCTAAGGATGCGGTCCAACTTTTATTACCTTTCTAGCATGCATGACTTTTGGTGAATCACTTTTGAAAATCATCCAATGAAGACATTTTCCTTAGAAATAAGTTTTTCATATACAATTTTATGAATCTTTTTTTAACCTTTTTAGTTGACTATTACATAAAATCTACTTGTAAACACAACTCCAAACTGAATCAGAAAAGCAAGTAGGAGAAAATTTTCAAAATCCATCGTGTCAGCATTTTACAGGGGAAAAAAGTCTGTATTTCATTTTGAAGACAATTGTGCAAATCTTATTTTAATTCAACTTAATCTAGTACTTGGATACTTTTAAAAGAAACAAATTTATAGTAAAGCAATATAAAGACAGGAATTTGAGGTCTAAAAATCATTATTTAAATCTAAATTATGTAATAAATGACTATATAAAAACTTTGTTAGGATGAGCTGTGTTTAGGCAGTTAGTTTATTTGGGATTCAGGGATACAGAAGGAAGAGTATGATCTTTGTATGATTAGACAGTTGATAATAACTTGTAATCACATGGATAATATAAGGTGGATTGTAGAAGATGCTTTTCTCATATTACAGATACTGTTTGTCATAGTGCAAACAAGTGTGTGTCAAAACATAAATAGTGAACTCCATGCCCCCTCCCAAGAAAAGTCTCTCACATGTTAAAACCATGTGGACAATGTGCAGCAAATTATTTTATTCAATTAGTTGCATTGCTTAATTTTGTGGGTGAGCACATTTTTTTTTTTAAAACTTTTATTTATTTCTAGGAGAGAGAGAGATAGACAGCGTGAACAGGGGTGGGTCAGAGAGAGAGAGGGAGACACAGACTCTGAAACAGGCTCCAGGCTCTGAGCTGGCAGTCAGCACAGAGCCTGACGCGGGGCTCGAACCCACGAACCGCGAGATCATGACCCAAGCGAAAGTCGGACGCTTAACCGACTAAGCCACCCAGGCGCCCCAATGGGTGAGCACATTTTAATAAAAATCTTAATTGCCAGTTTTGGACTTGGTTGTGTTGGAGTGTGGATGGTAAGTAAAAGTGGAGGCATTTGAAAGTATATTGTGAAGTAATGAGTTTTCTGTTTCTTTGACCATACTCTAGATCCAGGAAAGGCATTAGAGCCTTTTATACCCAGTGATAAGCTGGAGATCAAAATATGCATCAGTCTAGGGGCGCCTGGGTGGCTTAGTCGGTTAAGCATCGACTTTCGCTTAGGTCATGATCTCGCGGTTCGTGGGTTCGGGCCCCGTGTCGGCCTCTGTGCTGACTGCCAGCTCAGAGCCTGGAGCCTGTTTTGGTCTGTGACTCCCTCTCTCTCTGACCCTCCCCTGCTCACACTGTCTCTCTCTCTCTCTCTCTCTCTCCTAGAAATAAATAAAACATTAAAAAAAATTAAAAACAAAACAAAACCAAAAAAACCCAAAATATACATCAGTCTATATCTGGGATTGTTTTTTCTGTTAAAGACATTGTTCTACTCACAACTTGCCCCTTTCCTGACTATGCTCTCTTTAATTGCTACACCTTCTTTACTGCAAATTGTACTCTTCCACTTTATTTAAATCTTAGCTTACTTTGAGGAAAAGCAAAAATACGTAACTTAGTACATTAGGAATAAAGGAGATTGATTGTTACCTCACTACCAATAGAATTAACCTTTGTTTTACATTCTTAAAAATAGGATTCTTTCCTGACACAGAGAGTGTTTCAAAAGCACTTCACTTTCTCAGTTGGATTACAACTGATACATTAAATGCCCTGACCCAGAGAGCTGTAGAAACATAGCTTAGCTGAAGTTGGTGTTGATGACTTTGAGCAGTATGGAGGACATCAAGATAATTTAGAGCAGAATTGAAAGGCCTAAGAAAATTCTATTTAGAAAAATGTAATTTTTGGCATCATTATTAAAACTATACTTTTAATAATTAAAAAATTAGCAATTCTTTTTGTTTAAAATTGAAATTTAGTAGTGATATTTGTGGCATATTCTAATTCCTGTGGAAGTGGATTTAGGTAGTTGAGTAGTATCAGTTCTTAAAGTGAATGCATATGTATACAGCAGTGTTGCCAGTATTGAAATTCATATTCAGTGTCTTATTCTTTAAAAAGATTAAAAAATAATAATTGGACCATAGGCACATCTGCACATTATTTAACTTAATATCTCTTAGAAAATATACTTGTCTGCCTGTACAACTCTACCCCGCAGTAATTCCTGATACTCTTTTATTTTGTGGATGTACACGAATTATGCAAATACTCTTCAATAAATGAGCATTCATTAGGCTTACAGATTGCTATCATCAGAAATGTTTGTGTTCATATCTTTTTATTTGCATATGTAAGCAAATATGTAAAGTAGAAATCTTATTACAATTTCCAAGTGGATTTTCTAGTCAAAGGATTAGCAGAGTTTGAATTTTTCTAGGTATTTCTAAATTGTTCAGAAATAAGTCACCCTATTTTACATTTCTATCTAATAGTGCAAAGGAAGCAAAAGTTGCCCTGCTCCTCAGAACTGAAAAATTTCAAAAAGACATCCTCTCCATGACTGACCTTCCATCAGCAGAGCACCTACTGGGTTTTTCCTCTCTCCCTATCTCTTTCCTTCCCTGCCCAAGTTTAGTACTTTTGAGCAGTGCACAACTGCACAACTGTTCTTTGTGGCTCTGCCATTGCTGGCAGTGTTTCTAAGAATTCCCATTTCTCCCTTGTGTCCCATAAGATATTTTTAGTTTTGCCTGTCTGATAAATGAAAAACAGTATATTTTAATTTTTAAAACGAATTGGTAAGAAAACAAAATGCTCTCTCTTCTCATTTTATATTGTTTTATTTTCGTGAAAGCAGTTCCAGTAATTGAGGACCTACTATGTGCCCTGCTCCAGATGCCAGGGATACACGAGTGAATAAAATAGGGAAACTCCCCGCCACGAAAACAATGCCCTTTCTATCATGAATGTACAGTCTAACTTTACTATTTGCCTACAAATCTATATATTTGTTTTAAAGTTTACGTGTGATGAGTTTTAAAGCCTCAGAGTTTATATTTCTAGTTGAATGTACTGTGCACTGCTACTTGCTTTGTCTTTTCAATACTTTTAGTTAAAAAGCGACCCTACATTGAAGTACTCAAGATAGGCTCTGAACCCTTCTATTTACTATGAGGTACAATTGTGTCATAAAAGAAATTCTACTGAATCTTTGCATACATGATATTGTGTAATTATGTATAGTTCTTCTTTGGGTCCAAAGGCTCTGAAATGATGTCCTTCTGCCCCTTTCAATTTTGGAATGATTTCTAAGGATTTTTTTGAAGTCCACATTTTTTTTTTTTTTTTAAACCTCATAGGTTCACTGCTTGAAAATGATACAGTGAAAGTACTTTGTATTAAGATATGCAGATCCATTTCTACCTCCAAAGCTTCTTTGAAAAATGAGGGGAAAAAAAATCTCCTTACTTCGAAATGCTTCATATTCATGAAAGCAGTTTCAATGCAGAATATTCTGTTCGCTTTTAGTTCTTTGATCAATGAGAATTGTTTCTTACCTGCTGTTTCTTCAGCCTTTAATTGTGGCCCAGCGATTATTCAGTGTTTCTGTTTTAATTTGCATTTAATGAGCTCATTTTAAATATTTCTTTGTGGTAACCTGAATGGTTTCTCTCTTAAGTTTTATAATATTAAAGAAGGAAATTTATCGTACAGTTGGCTGATTTGTGTTACAGTTCATCTTCCTGGCTTATTTACTTCCCCCTATAGGAGAGAGTCTTGGTTAAAAAGAAGTGAGGTAATATTATTATATTTCCCCCAGTACTGTATGTCCTAATTATCTGAG